CCATCTCTGAGGGGATCTGACATTCTGGGCTCCTTAAGCTCTTCCACTCTTGTGCCGTTAACCACACACAGACACATATATGTAATTTTAAAAATAATAAGAATAAAAATATGAAAAAAAATCATCCTGCCTTTCAAAGTTGACTAGACAACTGGCATAGGTGGCAACACATCTTTTCTCCTGCCTGTCCCTTGGAAGTGGGTGGACAAAGTTACATTTTCTGTTTTAATTCACAATTGCCTAACTCAAGCTCACCAAGAAGTTTTCTTGTTTAAAAGAGGCTGGGGCCTTTCTCATGAAATCTACTACAGGTAAAACTTCACAGCCTCTGCTGCTGAAAGAAACCCCTTATACCTCTAAGGAGACATCATGTTTGGCACCCTCTCTGCACATGTGTGCACTGCCCAGGAGAGCATGAGCCTATGCGTCTCTCTGAAAGGAACTTGAACCTCAAATTACATGATTTGAAGCAATCTTTACAAACTTGGGCAAAAGAAAAATCAGAGCTTCAAGTCATGTTCTCACTCTAACAGAAAAGGAGAGAGGGAAGAGAAAAGATGAAGGGACATCATGCAGATCTTAAATGGAAATTAATATGTCAAAGCCAGATTAAACACCATCAATGATTTGTTTCCAAGGAAACATGAAATGGAACTTTAAAAAATTGAGGGAGGAGGACTGTGAACACACTGCATAATTGAGAGTATCCATGAACTTCTGATCCTCCTGCCTTTACTTCCTAAATGTTTGGCTTACAGGTGTGTACCACCATGCCTAGCTCAGGAAAAAATACTACATGTCCCCATGTCACTCCCTCTTTAACTCTTGACTTCCTGGGCCTGGAGTAGGGTACATGCTGAGCAGGAACAAGGCTATGACTTCAATTCCCACACCAAGGAGACACTTACTTCTTGGTATTGAATACAACTCACTAATGGAGCTGTTGGAAAGTTGCAAATGGTTTTCTAATGAATTTTCTAGCAATGAATTAAGTCTTCAGAAAACAATATGACATGGTTGTAATTGTTTTCCTAGGGATTTGGCAATTAATAGGATTGAAATTCTTCCACGGAACATATTTAAGGACCTGAAGGAGCTGTCACAATTGTAAGACACTAAACTACCACTTCCTTTCTTTACCTTATTGTTTAATTGTGGTAAAATATACATAGCATTGATTCATTTGTACCATTGGGTCACATCAAGATCTTCCATATTGTTGGTCAACTCTCACCAACATCCGCTTCCATAGTTTTTTACTTAGTACAAAGCTGAAACCCTGTAACCATCCAGCACTAACTCCATATTCATCCTGCCCCAGCCCTGGCAACCATAATTGTACTCAATCTCTCCATGTCATAGCTTCAGTTTTGTTTCTGGCTTATTTTTCTTGCCATACCAACATAGTGCATCAATGTTGTAGTATATGTCAGAATTCCCTTTGCCTTTAAGGCTGAATAATAAAACCTCGTACACTATGTACAATCATCCGCCAACGTGTGGTACTTAGGTTGCTTCCACCTTTTGTCTAGTTTGAATAATGCTATTATGAACACAAGTGTGCAAATTCATGTCTGGATGTCTACATTTAGTCATTTGGGTTCTATGTTCCTTCTCAACTCATAGCAAACTTAGTCATCATAAATCAGAACTGTTCGCTTTAAAGTTCATTTAATACACCTACCGTATCAACTATTATAACTCAGGAACCAGTGCACTGGTTAGTATCAGTTTTGTACTCCTGTGTTTCCATGGCTGGCTGGGAGCTGCAGCACACACTGTATCATAACACATACTGCTAGCCCAACTAGAAAAGAACAAAGAGGATCTTTGTCCTTGTCCCTTTTTCCTTTCCTTCCTCGATATCGCTGTACTAGAATTCAGGGATTCCATCACTCTACCACCAAACCATGCCACCTCCCTTAAAGTACAGCTTCCACTAAAGGTGTATTGATTTTACACTGTTGCAAAGTGAAAAATAATAAGCCAGAGGTCACCTGTACATCCTCAGATAGTGGCTGACTGAGTCACATGGTAGCCCTAATATCATTCTGTTAATTCTATTTCCTACCTGAGTTGTCTCATCTTACATCTCTACTATCTGTTGATAGGATTCTAATGTCTACAATCCCAACATCTGTTGTTTTCATTTTTGTGGCTCAGAGCCATCTTAACTGAGAATCCTTGAGGGCCTGATTTTCATTTCTCTGATACTAGTGATGTTGAGTATCTTTCCCGTGTGTTTGTTCACCTGTCTGTCTTTTGGGGGAAAAAAACTACTGGGGTGCTTCATTCATTCTTACATGAGCTTGTATTGCACTTGCTGTTTTAGTTCTTCCTACATCCTGGGTATCAGCCCTACAGACATAGGACTTGTATTTTCCCCCTATTGTGGGTGGCATTTCCCCTGCCATTCTTTTTTAATTTTAATACACTGCCATTTTTATCTTTTATTTTTATTATCTATATTTTTAGTTTCATGTACAGACACTGTGGAATCTACACAATGCAATTCTTCCTGTATTTTATCCTAGCTTGATAGCTTTACATTTTAAGCATGTGATACATTTGAGTACATGGTATAGAAGGGTTTAATTTTATTCCTTTGCATGAGGATATCTAATTTTTCCAACACTGTTTGTTGAAAAGATTATCCTTTCCTTGTTGAATGTCTATGGCACCTTTGCCAAAAATTATCTGATTATGTCTGAGTAGGGTTGTTTCTGGCCTCTTTAATCAATCCCTTTGGTCCATATAGCTGTAGATTACTGTGCAAACCCTAACTTTCTTGTTCTTCTTTCTTTTGCTATTTGGGTTCCTTTAATGTCTTACATGAATTCATAAACTTTAATATGGACTGAATCTTCCAATGCCATGGATAAGAATATCTTTCCCTTCATTGATGTTGATCTAGTCCATTTTCTGCTACTATAACAGAATGCCACAGCCTGGCTGATTATAAACAGTAGAATTTTGTGTGGCTCATTATTCTTGAAGTTAAGAAGTTCAAAAGTCAAGGCCAAATCTAGTGAAGTGTAATCTCATCCTCAGTTAAACCTTGTCTCTAATTCTGGTAAATACTAATTCTGAATGTGCTTTATATATCTGCTGGCCACTTGTGTGTCTTCTTTTGAGAAACATCTACTCCAATTCTTTGTCTAATTCTTAATTGGATTATTTGTCCTTTAACTATTGCATTGAGTTCCTTATATTGTTTAGATATCAATCCATCCCCCTATATATGCTTTGCAGGGGTAGGGATCTGGCTCAGTGGTAGAGTGTGCTTACGGCTCCTAGAACAAAACAAAGGAGTGGAGGAAAGGACGGGTGCTTTACAAATCATTTCTTCCATATGATAGACTTCTTTTGGGGTGTGTGAAGAAGTTTTTTAGTTAAATGTGGTCCTCTTTGTCTCTTGTCGCTTTTACTGTCTGCATTTTGGAAGTCACATCCAGGCTTTTGCTGTCTGAGTTTTAAAAGTCACTACCAGGCCATTGTCATGGGGGTCTTCCTCTGTGGTCTCAGATCTTACATTCAAATCTTCAATATACTTGGAGCTTTACTATATTTTTTTGGTAAATGTTTCAAATTCATTCAAAAGTCAACAAATAAATTCTCTTGGCCCAAGCAATTTTTAAGAATAACTTATTGCTGTCTTTTTTAACAGAAATATCTCCTATAATCCAATCCAGAAAATTGAAGTAAATCAATTTGATTATCTTGTGAAACTGAAGTCTCTGTAAGTATATTCATATACAGTTTTACTTCAATACTAATAACATATATGCTCTCATGCCTTTTACTTTTTTTTTAATTCCAACTCCACAAAATATATGGGTTCTTGATGAACTATAGACAGATAATTATTACTTCTGCCTCAAGCATTAATAAGCTAAAAATTAAATGATAATGAATCTCTACATCTCTCTCCATCACCAGGATCTTATACTGAATTGTGCAATTACACTCTCTGAACTTGTGGGGCATAATCATTACTCCATTAATTCTGACTACTTAAGATTTTCTATAAGCATATGTCCTAGTTTGCTTGTCCATTTCTGTAATTAAATGCTGACCAAAGTCAGGCAGTGGTGGTGCATGCCTTTAATCCCAGCACTAGGGAGGCAGAGGCAGGTGGATCTCTGTGAGTTTGAGACCAGCTTGGTCTAAAAGAGCTAGTTCCAGGACAGCCTCCAAAGCTGCAGAGAAACCTTGTCTCGAAAAATCAAACAAACAAACCAAAAAAATGCTGACCAAAACAACTTGGGGAGAAAAGTGTTTAATTGGTCTATAGGTTGCAGTCCATCATTGAGGAAAGTCAAGGAAGGAACTTGAGGCTTAAAGCAGAAACCATGGAGGAATGCTGCTTACTGGCTTGCTTCCCCTAGCTTTCTCTGCAAGCTTTCTTGCACGGCCCAGTGCCACCTTCCCGTAGCAATTGTTAGTCAAGAAAATGTGATATGCCCACAGATATGCTCACTGCCCAAAATGATGAAGGCAATTTCCTCAACTGAGGTTCCCTCTTCCTAAACATGTAAAGTTGAAAGCCAAGATTAGCATCCTTACTCTAAAATGAAATTTTCTAGACTATGTAAATCATGCCTCCCACAACACAAAAGGGACAAAATTTCTATTAATATCTAGGAATTGTCTTTAAAGTGTAAGCCTCCGTTCATCTTATTTAACTATTCTACAGTAAAATAGCACTTCATTAGAAAAAAAGATATGACTTTAAAATACTAGAAAAATTATAGATGGGCAGAATATAATGTGTATAAACTTATTCTACAAATATTTATTGACTAGTTAACATCCACTGGGCATTATATCATGGACTGTGAAAATTTTAAAAACAGGATACACATGTCTATAAACCGAGTAAATGTGTAGGTGGTCTGAGTCTGAGCATTTCACCTAGAATAATGTTAACTTACAGTATTTTGCCACATTGTCCTTCACAAAAAAATTATTATTTTATTATTTTGTGGATAACACGTTCTTTTGACTATTCCTTGGTATTTTTTAGCAATCTAGAAGGAATAGAGATAACAAATATCCAACAAAGGATGTTTAGGCCTCTTGTGAATCTCACTCACATGTAAGTAGATGTTTTCTCATTGTTCACCTTGATTTCAAACTTTATGTCCCCACATGTATTGTGATAATACACCCATACTAAATGTAAATGAAATATTAATAATTTCTAGCAATTTGCCTCTTCATGCTTAGTATTTGTGTTCCTCTTCCAGACTGTATGTTGCAATGTTAACCCCTAGTATTATTTAAAGTTGCAGCCTTGAAAAAGCAATTGGCTTCTGAAAGCAGAGCAGAGCACTAATGTCTTTTTTAAACAGATTGAAAACTAGAGGGGATGGTGCATGCCTTCAGTCCCAACATTTGGGAGGCAGAGACAGGTGGATCTCTGAGTCTATATGGCGAGTTCTAACCTAGTCAGGGCTTCATAGTGAAACCCTGTCTCAAAACTAAAATGAAGTGGAGAAAGACTGGAGCTAGTTCTGGGTTTGATGGGTTCCCAGCAAGTGGCAGGAGGGAGAGAGGGAGGTGTGCTGGGGAGATAGCTCAGTTGGGGAGCGTGCCTGCTGTGAAGACATGAGTTCACCAGCACCCATGGAAGCCTAGAGCCATGTGGACCTGTAACCAAAGTACTTGATGCGGTCAGAGACAAAGATTGCTGGGGCATGCTAGCTCTGGGTTCAGTTTTGTCTCTAGGGAGTAATAAGGAGAGTGACAGAGGGAAACTTCCTAACTTCTTATGTCTCTACCATGAATGTACATACAACAGAGAGGAAAAAATATTGCAATTAAAAGTATCAAACTTTAGGAAAGAAAAACGAAGAAGGGCGGGAGGAAGGGAGGGAGGAAGGGGGAAGGAAGGAAGAAAAGAAGGAAGGCAGAGGAAGGAAGGATGGAGTGAGAAAGGAAAGGGGGAGGAAGGAAGGAGGAAGTTGGGAAGGAAGGAAGTTGGGAAGGGAGGGAGGGAGGAGAGTGAATAGAAGGAAGGAAGGAAGGAAGGAAGGAAGGAAGGAAGGAAGGAAGGACAGATCTCTCCTGCACCATGTACCCTGTGAGGATACAGGAAGAATGTTTCAGGAAGCAGCACTTCACCAGACACTGGCTCCTTGACCTTGAACTCCCCATGGTGGAGAACAGAGAAGTAAATGTTCATTATTCAAGCTCCCAGGCTCTGGGGTTTTTCAACAGGCTAAATGGTCTACAACATTAGTAGTTAATTATTAACTATAAAAGCTTGACATTAGGTAGGTGGATTTTTAGTTTTCTACACTACGATAAAATTTTATGGAAAAAAATCCAAATACCAAGAAACACAAATATGAGAGGGTC